GAGGACTGAAGAGCAAGGGTGTTCCTTTGAGGACTGCTTGGACATGTTGTCCGGAGAGACCAGTCCCTGGAGAAGGACATCATGGTTGGTAAAGCGGAGGGGGCCGGGGGGAGAGTTAGGCCTTCGACCAGATGGATGGACACAGCGGCTGCACAATGAGCTCAGGCATAAGAACAATGGTGAGGATGAGCAGGACCGGGCAGTATTTCGTTCCCTTGTGCACAGGGTCACTACGGTCAGAACCCACGCGATGGCACCTGTGAACAGCAATGACCTGAGCTGGAACGGCCTAAATGGCAGTGGGCACGGTTGAAGGCTACCAGCCCAGAGAGAAGCAGTCTGGGTATCCTTAATGGAAATTCGGGTACCAGAACTGCATGGTCATGAGTGGTAGCCCCAGCGACCAAGTGGCCAGTCCTATGAGCTCCTCTGATCTGTGACGGTGTGGGTGTCCCAACCCATCATTGGTTTGACTTTGTTTTCCGTGGTCATAATTAGCCCCAGGGCCTGGAATCCCTGGAATACCATTATGGCCTCAGCAGATGGTCTCCCTCATGCGATCATTTATCTTCGTTATGCTTATGGCTTAATAACTCTCACTGCCATAGAGTTGATGCCAACTCACAGCAACCCTGCAGGACAGGGTAGAACTGCTCCTGTGGTTTTCTGGGACTGGAACTCTTTATGGGAGTAGAAAGCCCTGTCTTTCTCCCTCGGAGGAGCTGGTGGTTTCCAACGGCTGACCTTACAGTTAGCAGCCCAGTGTGTAACCACAATGCCACCCGGGCTCCTCGGGCTTAATAAAGGGCTTCTGTCCATCGCCTCTGTCCTTGCGTGGAGTGCTGGGAGGGAGGTAACTGTGCTCTGTCCTCATCTGCAGGCAGGGCTTTTTCTCCTTGCAGGGCTGCCAGGCTGGAGCTGGCAGACATCTGGCCATCTCTCATGTCTCCTCCCAGAGCCCTGGTGGTGCGTTGATAAAGCTCCCAGTTGCTAAGCAAAAGGTCAGCGGTTCAAAGTCACCTGTGACTCCATGGCAGGAAGACCTGGCCGTGTACTTCCCATGGGGAAGTTCCACTTGGTGACATGGGATCCTCACGGGTCGGAATCCACTCTGTGGCACCCAACCATCATTCTCTCTTGGCCCTCCACCTGCTGCCACTGAATGATTCCGACTCCTGGGGACCTGGAGGACAGAGTAGAAGCACTGGGAGTTTCCGGGGTTGTCAGTCTTTGGCAGAGAAGAGAGCCTCATCCTTCCCCCACAGATTGGCCGGTGAGTTTAAACCAATGACCTTGCAGTTAGTTAACCCGATGTTTAACCTAGATAATTAGGAGTTTCATCATCCTCCACATGTTTGGACATAATTATCATGTGTGTGTGGTGGGGGCAAATCATCGGTGATGCAAATGGTCAATGCCCTTCACTACCAATCAAAAGGTTGGATGTTCAGATCCACCCAGAGGCACCTGGGAAGAAAGGCCTGGTGACTACCGGAAAACTCAGCCACCAAAAAGCCCATGAAGTGCAGTTCTACTGACACACATGTGAATCAGCGTGGGAATCAAGTGGACAGCAACTGGTAAGAAAAGCCCAGGGCCCACTCACCAGACCACAGCTGGGCCCCTAGGGCACCTCAGTCAGTTCTCACAGCAGGGAGTGCTGGAACCTTCCAGAGTCCCTCAGCTTTGATTCGAGAGAGAGTACGAATCAACCGGCCAGCTGAGCCCAGCCCCATCTTCACCATCAGCGGAGACGTTCACCTCTACCAAGTGCCTGTCCATTGGGTCCTCACAGGAAGAGGGGGGTAAGGAGACCCTTCACAGAGCTAGCCAAGCATGACCCACCCCACTCCCACCACCAGCCAGGAACAAGACCCTAGTCTCAGTTCAGGCTTCCTGCTAGCTCCCTTGCCCACCCTGCCCCCTCTTAACCTTAGCATCAACTGAAACCCGGAGCTGGGGCCAGACCTGAACAAAGCAGGGCTGTGAAGAAATGGAAAGCCCTGGTGGGGCAGTGGGTGAAGCGTTGGGCTGCTAACTACAAGACAGGTGGCTCAAGCCCAGCAGCATCTCTTAGGGAGAAAGTTGAGGCTCTCTCCCCATCAAAATGTACCGTCCCCTGTGCTTCAGTCCTACTGTGTCCTATAGGGCCGTCGGCTGTGATTGGCGGTTCCTTGCGACTCTGCTGTAGAATGGGCACACTTCTCAGCAGCAGTCCTGGTGGCACAATGGTAAAGGGAAGACCAGCCGCTCAGTGGAAGAAAGGCCCGGCACTCTGCTCCCATTAAGAGGACAGTCCAGGAGACATTACGGGACAGCCGCACTCTGTCACTGCAAGCCGACCTGACTCGGTGCCACTGACAACACAGGACACATAGGGGGGGGGGAGAGGCTCTGGTGTGTGGAGGCAAGGGTGAGCCCTACCCATGCCCCACACCCTGCCCAGACTCACAGTGAGAAAATGACCAGATCCCCCGGAGCTGAGGAAATGCCCCAAGTCCCCAGAGGTGGCCCCGTGAGGATGTTCAAGGGCGGTCATTAAGTGACAGCAGGTGGCCTGAGTGATTTGACATCTTCTTTTCTCATTTCCATAAACTGAAGCTTCAAGCCACAGGGGAGAGAGGAACATCGCCTTAGCCCACTAAACCCCACCGCTATGCAGCCGTTCC